GCATTGAAACATAAAACAACTAATATTCAAACAAAAACACATTTTTCCAAAGCAAATAATTCTATTCATTTCTTCTCCCGATCTAGACTACTACTCCTCACTGCCCAATTTCTAACATACACTTTCCTAACGGTTGGACCCACCCTGGTACCAGGTTTTTCCTAAACGAATGAGTGATATAAGTCGAAATTATTCGAAACTAAAATCAGATTTATATTATGGCAAAATCGAATGATATTGAACAAAATCAGGCTATTAAGGAGCGAAGACTGAGTATCACCTACCAGCATTCTTGAAAAAAAAACACTGGGGCTTTCCATAGGGGGCATTACAAGCTGAGTTTTATTAAAAAATGCGGGGCATAGCATAGACCTCCTTAAATCTTTGGCATAACGCTCATGAATTCGTAGCGTCCTCCGTTTGGTAAATCTTTTCCTCATTCTTCATGACGCTCCCATTTCGCTATAGTCACTTGGTACGAAGGCGCTAGCGCTTCACAAGTGTCAGTCCTACCCTCCTAGTGTTCCGCCCACCAATAAATCCTTACTTTCTGTAACGATCAGTTTTCATACCGATTTTTCCTTCTATTCTCATTGCTATGTTGTAGCAATGGCGTGACTTCTAAGAGACGACTGTTACCGAGCAGCAGATTCCCTTAGGCTGCATAAAATGCTGATCAGTGCCGAGAAAACTGTCCGTCCGAAGATTTCCAGAAACTATATATGAAGTTCTCTCAGAAAATGTTTATGCTTTTTTCGTCGCTGGACAGTTCACCGCAAAGCTGAGGCTACGAATACACGTTTTGAGGTGGGCGCGGAGGGCGAGGCGAAGGTGCATTGTCTATATAGTCAAATCATCAGGCGAAATCTTGCTCTAAAATGAGTGGATAGATGTCATTGAACCATCCGGTAGATATATGACAGATCTCCTAAACGATGAAAAAAAAATCGACGCTTCAGTGATTATTCAGAAACGGCAGAAGAAATTCCGGTTCCCGTTAAGTGTGCCGAGACGTAAAGAACGTGAGTTATCTAGTCCCGAAATGTGATGCGGATATTGTTCTTTCCCCCAAAACACAAGTGCGAAGAACGCAGATGGCACTCGTTGATACCGATGGACGACACGCGTCTTATTTAAGAGATATACATTTCAAAGCTGGTGTCCTCCTAGCTCCGGATTCACAACAGGACTGCTTGCCTGCCCACTAGCCGTTGCAGGGACCTTTATTTTTTTTTGCTAAAACCATCCATTCAGCCATAAATATAATTCGAAGAAAATCTGATAAAACATCTAAAATTGCAATTATTGACCTTTCGCAAATTTCTCCTTTGCTATTGTAGGTGCATGCGCTGAATAATTTGTAGTTTTAATAATCTTCTTTCAGCTGACGGTTAACATTTCTATGAAACTTATGAAGTACGTATTGTGTGCTGAGGAGTATACGTGATTTCCAAGATTCGAAAAAAAGAGAGATATATAAATAATAGGTTATATCGAGAATAGCTTCATATATAGCCGTGAGTTAATGCAATTTATTTCGTGCAAGTCATATGAGGGTACTTTGCTATGAATGTTTCTGCGATGTGCAAAAATTCATTGCAGATTCTAAATTACGGGGAGATTTTCGTGTATCAACGGGGGAAACAAGGCCTCGTAGCTTTAGCCGAAAATGTGGATCATCTCAGCGCTAGACTAAAAGCAATGAAAGTAAGGTGGGGAGTCTATGTAGTGAGTGAAGTCTGCCCAGAGGAACTGTTGCCCTACTTTTCTTAAAATGTTTTTATTATTGCTCCTCTGTATGCTTCAAAAGTTCGGACGTTAGTTGTGTCAGCTGGACCACCTGCGGCATGTGCTGCTCCATCTTGTTGGCGTATCATCTCGATAGAATCCAACCAAAGACGATTTTTGGTGACTATGGAGCCCTCTGTCTTCTTGGCCCAGTCGTTGAGATGTTCAACAAGCTGTTCACACCTTCTCGATGTTGTCGATAGAGGCATTTTCCGAAGGCCTCCGAGAGAAATGAAGTGGTCCCAATTAACGACAGTCCTAGGCGTTCGTTTCTCTCTCGGTGGCCTTCATTTGTACAACTTTGCCACTTTTTATCTTCGCACCGAAGAAAGCACTCATGCGCTTCGTAGGCGATTGGCGGGTGCACTTGTGCAGCGAGCGCTAGACTTTTTCGTGCCATGTCTATGTGATATCTTGATTAGGGGGTCAAACCTCTTGGGTTCCATATCCCAGCAGAATATATCGCGAGGAGAAACGACCAAAATTTGGCACGAGTGTCAAAGAGTGGAGTGCCGACTGAGTGGTGCCAAGTTGTGGTTTAACCTTTTTTTCCCAAGTCGGGAAGGTTTGCAATCATCGCCTTATGCAGATGCTATTGCAGATTTCCGAGCTCATCCGGAGCAGTCCTTATGTTAACTAGAAAGTATAGAAGCCGTCGAATGTATCTGCTCTGTAAGTGAACTATTGAAAGCATGCATTACCATACATTTGGAAAAACGAAGATAATTCATCCTTTTTACGATATTATGTTTCTCTATATAATCGTCAAATGGTGCTCCCATAAACATAGCGTCTCTGATATCTCTGATATACAGCCTCATCGCCGAAAAACGTCTAAACAGACTCTGTGGTATAACTATACTATGTTACCCGACTTTGAGCGATGCGAAAAAACAGAGCACACGTGAGTACAGCACTATTGCATTCTTTCTTGTTCGAACTAATGAAATATGACGGAATGCATGTGAGCAAGCACGTACACTGGTTCACTTCTACTCG